AAGGGAGTATCCACGGATAGCAGTGTACACCTTTTTCCGTGGGTCCTTCATGATCAGCGGTCCGTGTTGTTTGGGTGCAGTGATCGGTTCCCTACCACGAATGGCGTAGAGAGACATCAACCAGCTCTGCCGCACAGCTACGACACAACACAATCACAGGACAGAGCTGAAAGTGATGACTTGATGCTTCAAATAAACCAAATACTAACTCTCAGCTTTAAAGGTGCTGCATGTAATTTGCTGCATGACTGTACTAAAGCATAAAAATACCTTAATACATTTGCAGATATTTAGGAAACATGCCAAGTTCACGTACTTATTTCTCAGAAAAACAACGCTACAGCCAATTTTTCTGCTTTGAAATGTGTGTTCCGTGTCGGAATGTCTGTTTTTGTTTTGGTCTGTGTGACTCCGCCCACTGCCAGTTATAGTAATAGTAATAGTAATAGTAGTAGTAATAGTATTTCGACAGCCCGGGTTGCCAGTCGATGGAAAACACAGCGTATTGCAGGCATTGAAGCCAGCAAACAAACTGAGTCAGAGATTGCTGATTCAACTTGACCTAAAAAGCCTCGGCATCCATTTATAAAGCTCTATGAGCAGAGGCATATTAAAATGCAGATTAAATTACACTTTAAGGCTCGTTGGCTAACATTGTCAGTTGTGCTTATTCCTTTTTGCATCTGGCATCGCAGTCTTATGAAGCGAAACAATCGGTCTGTGCAAGAAACTGAACATTATTTACAACATTATTACCTGTGATCCAGAGCCTCAGGCAAACGGTCCGAAGTGATGTCCGGTTCACAAATTAATCATGCTTTTGAACCAGTTCTTTTTAGTGAACTAGATAAACCAGTTCACCATATCAGACTGAATCATATGAAACAGTCCACGGCTCAAGCAGTTACTCAATCAAAACTCACTACCCAACTAATTATTGGGTGCTTTAATAAAATAATTGTGTATATGCGACATCACTGTGTGATTAAGTATACAAACTGGTGAATCAGTTGTTTGAACCAGTTCATTGAAATTGTCCGAAAGAACCAGTTTGTGGAAAAGACTTCCGCGTTCGCCAGAGTCTGTCAGGGTCCAGTCACCTTCATTGGTCTTATTCTTAGTCTAGTGACATGATCCTGACACTCATGTGAGGTTTTGGGGTTGTTCTCTGGAGTGGACAGTGTGCTCTTTTGTCTTGGTGGATCCTGGCACTTAGTTCTAGTTTTGGTTTGGTGTCAGTGTTAGGGTCCTGACATCCATGCTCCGTGCACTTCTGTCTTGCATGTTTCTTGTTCCGTTTGAGCACATCGGTGGATGAAGATTTGTTTGCCATGTGCTTGTCTGTCTTGACTTATCTTATGTGTTTGTGTGAGCACATGGCTTCGGACAAGTTTGTTTGCATGTGCCTTATGCACATGGCTTTTTGTTTTGTTTTCTGTGTGCTCTATTGCTCATCTTAGTCTTGACTCCACCCTTCTTGTTCCCCGATTATTGGTTCAATTACCCCACCTGTCCTCCCTTGTTACCTTCCTAATTTCCTTCCCTATTTCGTCTCCCTGTGTGCTTTGTCCTTTGCTGGTTCGTTTTGTTTTTCTACTTGTAATTTGTCTAGTCTTTGGATCTTCTGACCTTTTCCCCCCTGTTGTGTTTTTTTATTTCCCAGCTTTTCACAGTTTTTTTGGTTTTGTCTTTCCCAGATTTTGTATTACCTTTTATTTTTTTTGTCAAAGATCTTTTGAGCATCCCGCGTTTGGATTCTGTCTGCATAACCTGACAGATGCTCTGGATTACAGGTAATCATGTTATAATTAATGTTAATTTTCTTGCACAGACTGATTGTTTCGCTTCATAAGACCTCAATATATTGTCAGGAGCCACGGGGATTAATTTTGTGCTGCCTGAAATGCTTTTTTGACTCTCATGTGCCGGTAGCCGCTGACTTGCACTTTATGAAGCACCAAGGACCAGTTTCAGCTAAAAATAATCTATACTGTATACTGAAGAAAGAAGTCACCTACATCTTGGATGGCCTGGGGCGAGTAAATTAACAGCAAATTTTCATTTTTGGGTGAACAATTCCTTTAAGAAATGAGAGTTTCCAGTTTCCTACCCTCACTGTGAGCCATAAACTCAAAGTGCTTCTTCTGAAAATGGATGGAGAAGCGTCCTTGATCCTGCTCACGTATGTTGGTGATGCTTGTTACGTGAAAAATATATTCTGTGAATTTGTCCTGGAGCACATTGAAAATGTGGTTATAAAATTAGTATTTGCAACGTATACTTTATTTGTATTAAATGTAATGCCATTATGAAACAACTCACTGTGCGCTTTTTCCAGAGTGACATGGCATGTCCATCTAGAGTGGCCCACAGAACATTGTGCCTACAAAACAAATTTAACACAAATATAAACCTTTTATTTTGTTTGCACTTGTTACTGTTTGTTCCCTGCAGTCTTACAGTATAATGGGTCTCCTAAAGGCCCTTTCACACCAAACGTGAATCTTCAGCACAAACATTTTAAATAAAATCAATAAATTCCTATAGAACTAGAAGCGACACCAGACGTGAACACTGAAGTGAAGCTACTTTTGGCGACTGTGTTTTGTGTGTGAGCTTTGGATCATGTGTCTGACACTCAAACTAAAAACCAGCATTGAATACTATTACTCCTTATTTTAGCAAGGGCTCCAAATGACTCTAATTATGATTAGCATTAATATTCCTAAAGCATTG